ACAAATGTGGCAAGAAAGGTCTTAAATGGCCTTTCACTTAACAAATGTGGCAAGAAAGGTCTTAAATGGCCTTTCACTTAACAAACGTCTCACTTAACAACATAAATTTTGGGCTCAATTGGGATTGTAAGTTGAGGAATACCTATACATACAATGATGGGGTAAAAGACTATAATACAGCATTAAAGAACACCAAGAAACATTTAACCAGCTATCAATATCCCTTCTACAAGGGAATTCATACTGTCGCCTTTGGAAATCCTGAGAAAAAAGCAAGGTTTTCATGGCCTTCAAAATATTTCCAGGGTTGTATCTGCTCTAATTTCCAGTGGTACGCTATTCAGAAAGTATAGGAATACCGTGAGAAACGAATCACACCCAGAACAAGCTTTCTCTTCCAGCTCTTCTTCAGTGGGGCAATCCACTTGAAATAGCTGTCAGTTATGCAGATGTTGTCAGACTCTAGTTGAGATATATTAGGTTTTAAAGGTGACAACTGGCACCTTGAATTGTACCCAAAAGCTTACTAATTACTCTTTCAGGGCAACTTTTGCAGTAGAGGTGTTATTTAGACAAATCAGGTTGTGCTCCTAATTACTGAGGTTGGTCTCTTTGTACCAGTTACAGTTTTCAGTGTTCTTCAGGGGCAACCCAATATAAAATGCATTTCAGTGAGTTCTAGTGAGAGGTCACCAAGTCATATCTAACTATAGCTGAGTAGGACTGCCCAATCCAGAACCGGATTGCCTTCTGAGACAGAAATAGCCTACACATGGCTTTGTGAAGTAAAATACAATGTTACAACGTAGCAGATTATTCCTAAAATTATAGGGCAAGGAAGCAATGACTGATGCTCTAGTCCTGAAATTCATAGATGGTTCTATTAACCGTCTCGGGCAAAAAGCTTTTAAGAGCAGTAGTAAACAGAAATATTATGTTCACTATTAGAGTAAGCAACTCCCCTTTTACCCAAGTGACTCCTGAATATATCGAAATAAAACTGTTTATTAAAAAAATTAGATGAAAGGTAGACCCGGCAAGGGATACCATTTATTTTTAAATAACATCATTTTATTAAGTGTTTATTGAAATTAAGAAATCAGTACAATAGGTGAGAATACTTTTTTTTTGCATTTTTCATTAGCTTATAAGATAACCTTTACTGTCATTTTTTTTCTGTGAACACTGTCACACATTAAAAAATAAAAATCTGATGCCCGCTCTCAAAATAAGCCAAAATGTTGAAAATCCACCTAAGCGAACAGCACTATCCAGGACGGAATGCTTTAACCAAGTTTCCAATGCAATGACACAGCAGTCTGTCACTTACTGGTATGTTATTAACTCGAGCTTATGAAACGCTTCCAATGACCTGTGTTTGATGCACCAGCATATTCTTGATTAGAACTGAGCTTAGGGGCTTTTTAATCACATGCAATCGCACCAGATGTACTTTACTCTATAGCTTATATAGGACAGCGGTAGCTAAATCTCAGATTTATCACCAAGATAAAAGAATTCAGAAGGTATAGGATTCTGGATAGATCAATCCATCTTCCAATGCTGTAATAACTATTCCTTTTCCCTCAATTATTTTGTCATTTACTGTAGACACAAAAGCTTCCATTTTTATGCAATCCCAAGCATTCTGCAAAGATCACTTTTAAGGGAAATTGGGATAACTTTATTTTTAATTACCTTTCCAAAGAATTTGATTTTTTGCACACCATGGTGCCAATCATTAAGAGCCGGGACCACTTTCTGGCAAAGAGACAGCTGTCAATTTAGGGTCCAGGGATTGCAAATCAAGGCCTCTTTTGGCAAAGTGTAGCTGCATATTGTCTTCTCTAAATGTACCTGCATTCCTACCCCTCCCCAAAGGCTACCCACGCAGGAGGAATTAATTGTCTTTAAACTTGGCTTCTCTCTTCTCCACAAAGGCATCCATCCCCTCTTTCCGGTCCTCCGTAGCAAAAGAGGCGTGAAAGAGCCTCTTTTCCAGCCGGTTGCCTTCGGCTAAGGTGAGCTCGAAGGCGGCGTTGACCGCTTCTTTGGCCATGGCCACCACTAGCTTGGAGTGCCGGGCGATCTTCTCCGCGCAGCCGACGGCTTCGTCCAGCAGTTTATCCACCGGGCAGACTTTACTGACCAGGCCGGCCAGCTTGGCTTCCTGGGCCGAGATCCGTTCTCCGGTCAGGACCATCTCCATGGCCAGAGACTTGCCCACCGCTCGGGTCAGCCTCTGCGTCCCACCGGCGCCGGGGATGGTCCCCAGCAGGATCTCCGGCTGCCCGAACTGCGCCTTCTCGCCCGCGTAGATGATGTCGCACATCATGGCCAGCTCGCAGCCGCCGCCCAGCGCGTAGCCATTGACGGCGGCGATGACCGGCTTGCGGACGCTGGCCAGGCGGTTCCAATGGGCGAGGAAGTTGCCGCTGTAGCACTCCTGGAAAGTCCGGTGTTGCATCTCTTTGATGTCGGCGCCGGCGGCGAAGGCTTTCTCGCTGCCCGTCAGGACGATGGCGCCCACGGCTGGGTCCCGCTCCAGCGCCTCCAGCGCTTCGCTCAGCTCTTTCATGAGGTCGTCGCAAAGCGCGTTCAGGGCCTTCGGGCGGTTCAACTGGATCACCGCCACCCTCTGCCCGGCTCCCTTCTTTTCCACCAGCAGGTGCTGGAAATGCCCCCCAGTTGCCGCCGCGCCCAGAAAGCGTCGGGGCGGCCGAGCAGCTATAGCCAAAGACAGACGGCGAAGGAGCAGCGCGGTGGCCATGCTGGCGAGAGCGGCAGGACGCAGGGGTTCCAGTCCAAAGAGATCCTCCGAAATACTTCCGGTTCCCGAATGATGCGGTCCTCCATATGCGGGGAGAGTTTCTCAGGGCATCGCCCACTTGATTGGATGATCTCACGAAAGCACCATTGTTGCCGTTGGATGAAAGACATTATACTAAATTATTCACATCAAGAAAAATAAAAAGCAAGGAAAATGCATAAACCCCCATGTCCAAATTCCTTCTGCGGGATTTAAAAAAAATGTTCTGACAATTGTTTCCAGATCAAGCATTTACACTAGAACCTGCTGTCGAGGTTTAAAGGCTCAAGACTTTAAAAAAAAAAAAAAGTTCGATTAATTTCTTTTGATGTAATGCTAACAGTTTCAAGCAAAAGCGAAAATGCAAAGAGCTGCAATATCTATTGGTGTGGGAGAAGAGAGAGAGAGACTGGAATTCTCTTTTAATGCTAGGATAATCAACAAAATTATGGATTTGTCAACGCTTGGGTGGGGGGAAGTACTCAATTTTCTAACTAGGTTGAAATTAGTGTAATAAGAATAGNACAATTTATTTCTCTTTTGCTATACAAGTGTGCTTATTGAGCTATAATAAGCCACCATTTACATAACATGCATTTAGTTGGCAACTGCTGCTGAAATGTTAGCTTTGCAGAATCTTTCAGTATTTGTGTGTGGTGTGCACATGCTCCTTCAAGGCAGTGTTAACCTGCTAAGTTTTCTTGGCAAGATTTTCAAAAGTGATTTGCCATTACCTTTTTTTAATGAGAAAGTGACTGGCCAGAGATCACAATTGATCACAGTTTCCTGATTTCCTGATTTATAGTGCTTTAACCACTGTACCAAACTTTCAGTCGTTTTCATATTATTACATTTATAAAGTGATTAAAGATAGGAACAAAGAGAAAAATAGGGGGTTGGGGAAGCATTTTCCAAACTCCTGTTTTGAATTAGTATGTTAAAGAGTGCCAATGAACAGATAGAAACTAATTTAAAGAAACTAGAACAAAGATGGAAAAATATATTGCAGTTCTGTACATTAGAGTTACTGTAGAGTTTGTAGAATTAAAATCTTTTTATTGTAAGCATTCTTATCTTTTAGTTTGGAAACTACATTTTCTCTCTCAGATTACGTTATACAGTACAACATGGAAAGCCTCCATCAAAATTTAAAAATGGTCCATTATTTATTTCCAGACTTAAGAGTGATGCTGTTCCACTTGAAAGATTTCCTACATAAACAGCTATACATGAACATCTACCAACATCTACCATAGAGATGTTCTTGTTTTTATCTGAATCATTCTTATTTGTTTTTACAGCACTGAATGAGATAGAGGAGGTGGCACAGGAAGATGGAGTGGCTTTGGTAGAGAGCCACAGTGAAGCGATTGCAACTAATCAAGCACTTCTTCCTATGGAAATTGATGAAGAGCAAGCAGGTAATTTTCATGTCAACATCCTTTTCTTATTTACCTCTTTCACAGGCTGCATGCAAATTTGTTTATTGCTGTTAAGGTTCACCAAGATAGTATTACTATTAGAATAAATTGAACAGTTTAAAGTGGCATAGTTTGAAGTTAAACATCTGATAGTGACGTTAGTTGATTTCAAATATTAAATCAATTTTCTGTTTGAAAATTTTGTTTTCTATACAAAACTTTTCTGTACAGCAATTGTTACGTTGCTTTGGGAATAGACCATTGATTCATTGAATTGATTAAGTGACATCAAGTCATTTTCAACTTCTAATAACTGCATAGATTTTCCCATATTGCTGATGTGGAGGTTTAGATTCATTGCTAAAATATAAGTTTGTTTATTTATTTATATTATATTGCATTATACATATATAATGTTAATAGTTCTAGCAATGTGCATGGTATACCACATTAACCTTGTTCTGACGACCAAAACACTTTACTTGCTACTCTGCTATTCAGTTGAGATACGATTATGCATCTCTTTTCTTTCCTTCCTGGCCAAGAAAACATTACTTCCAACCAACAAGAAGGCTCTTAGTAACCACTGGTTGTCATTGCGACATCTGATAGTTTTCATTTTGTTCTCTTTTTTGCTATATTTATGCAACAGAATACATTTGTATCATTTTACAAATATACAGCTAGATTAATCTATTTGCATTGTATGGTACTAATTGATTGTGGCAGGAAGGGACTAGTAGAAGATTTGGAGAACATCAAAAACAAAACCTAATTTGCCTACTCATGTGAAGTACTCAGACTAGATAGAGATTGGAGTCATATATGCAATGTGACCCTCCCATCCCACTTGGCAGGTCTGAAGGATTACTACCTTTGCATATGCAGCTCTGAATATCATCAGGGCCTGGAAAAAGCAAGAAACACAGTCACACCAATAATTGTGTTTGCATTCATGTGAATGTACACATAGCTCCCTTCAGACTTCCCACCTGAACGTTTGGAAGCAGTGGTGAATCTGCTTTTCCTTAAGACTTCAGTATGTTCAGGTGAATGTCTAAAGGAGGATTATAAAGCATTCCGCCCTGATACAAAACAGAGTACACACTTATTTTTATTCCTCTCTGTGGTGTTTGAAGGGAACTTGAAGAAGAGAAAAACAGAGATATATGGACTGCGGAAACCCCTTTGGGTAGGTATTCCAAACCTTAATACAAATCTCAGCTAGTTTAGATATATGTTTGAATCAAGGTGAGACATGCTCAATCAAGGTGAGTCATGACTTAAGGAACATGAATAATTGAATGTTGATGGTCTCGTCTTTTTCAGGACCTAGTGGTCTTCAGCCTAGTGTAAACCTAGCACCAATTACAGTCCATGATTCAGACAGTGAAGAGGAAGATGAAAACATTCAATTATTCATGTTCCTTAAGTCATGACTCACCTTGATTCAAACATATATCTAAACTAGCTGAGATTTGTATTAAAGTTTGGAATACCTACCCAAAGGGGTTTCCGCAGTCCATATATCTCTGTTTTTCTCTTCTTCAAGTTCCCTTCAAACACCACAGAGAGGAATAAAAACAAGTGTG